GAGGAAAACATTAAAGATCCTTCTCCTTCTGTACCGTTGAAGGGATTTTAAACTTGTTCTATAGAATCTTTGGGCAAAGGGAATTGAATATTTATAAATGGAAGATGTGCCCCCTCCCCACACCAGTTCATGAAATCATATACCAGGGTATGTATAAAAAAAATCTATTCTAACCCTTTCCCGAGGGAACTGTTATCTTATAGTGTTGTCGAGGGCACTACACCTCCCCAGACAACACTATAAGATAACAGTTCCCTCCGGAAAGGGTCATAATAGATTTAGTACGTACATCACATGACTGTCATATGACAATAAAAAGACAAACATGCGGAACTTCATTGATAACATCTTTATTAATGAACAACAGCTGGAAATTTGAACGTAACATTTGAATTTTTTATTCATGAGTTGTTGTTAATTGTAATGGTACAATTACTAAAATTGAACGAAAGGTGCACAAACAATGAAATATGGAAATCTCTGCCACATGATGGTTCTTGTAAATGCCGCCACAACCTTGCCTGATGGCAATAAGAGAACTTTTTGGGTAGATCCCTCCTTTTTTGTTGCGTATATTGGCATAGAAATCCGCTAAACAGCGTTCAATTCACTGGATTGAATCACCAAGGTCACATACAGTTCCCCTTTCCAGTAGGAAGTCTTTAAGGACTGCGACGGCAAATTGTGTCGCCTGCTTCGTCTTTATGCATTGCTGAGCCTCTGTGAAGCAACCGGCATTCCAGGTCCTGAATCTCGAAGCCATTTTGGCAGATGAAAACAATGAAGTGAAAATAGGATATGTACAGCGCCCCCTAGGAGAAGGGGCACAACTCTTAGCATCACGCTACTTTCCCGCAGTCTCAGCGGTCCAAAAAAAGGGTATAGTGCCCGTCTCCAGGTATAGTTCCCGTTGTCAAGGGCGGATGCTAATTATACCAAATAGAACAAGGGTAGTTATCCAATAGCTATCCTAGAAATGATCATGTGATGTACTAATCCATCATAATTGCCAGTTCATGACTTAATGAGCATATAATAATTTTGCATAGGGAAAATTGAGGTTAATATTTTATAATCCACCCCAATTCATAAGGACAGAAAGAAGGGAACCAATGAGGGACAATGGGTGTTGATGAGAGACAAAGCCAACCTTTGAATATAGTTGCAGTATGATAATTTAATGAGAATATTTTCCCATGGTTGCTTTTTATCTTTATAAGCAATACAAGCCCACCCTGTTGTGTCTGCAACAAATGTTGCAGTTATACCAGTAAGTCTGCAACATTTATGCAGTTTATTGCTTAAATGTTCCTCAGATTTCACTTTCAACTTTGCTAAAATATAGCACCAACATCCAAACATGTTTTTTATAATGAAAAAGTGAAGACACTGCAACAAGGTTTAAAGGTGTTTACCATGTAAATTAAATTTTAAAATATATCCATCTGTGAGGTCACTTCCACTAAATGTAACTGCTAAACCACTTTATCATGCCAAAAACAGCTGCACAGGGGATGGTAGAATGAAATCAGGGCATAATGTACTACAAAACAGAAAGCAGTAAATATTTCCTTGAACTTTTAGCCAGCTATACAACAAACAAACCTCTAAATGTAAGCTGTCATATTGATTTGTCCTGAACGTTCTTCTGTAGGTGAGATAATGTAGCACCTTACTGTGCCTTTGTATATTGGAATATGATAAGTCAATATTGAATAACACAATCAACAGCAAAAGAAAACATCTGTTCATACTGCAGCTTGTGGAGTACAAGAACATTTCTTTTCAAAACACTTCAGGTGGAATGTGATCACACAATCTGTCTGTTACATGTACATGTCTTGGTTTGGGTTGGGTTTGGGGGTGGGGGGAGGCATGCATGTTTATCATGGGTATTACCGTAAATATATGTATTGTTTCCCTGGCATTGTATGAATGTAACCAGATCTGTTATTAACGTGTACATGCTATAATTTGATTCTACTGATAGCCTCTCTTCTCATTATCTACTCACTAAGAATATTTCTAGTTCCCTTTTCCTTCATTCTTAACAATTGCTCCCTTGATATATATTGACAACCCCCTTCATAATGCAAAACATTTGTTGGACAGCTGATGACAGTATAACCATCTTTACTGTAATTTCCTTATAAAACAAAGTTTAAATTTTGATGAAAATAATTTAAATAAAAATTAAAATAGTTAAAATTTTAAAGTATAAATAATTTTTAATTTCAAGCCTCCCTTCCATGGATTTCATGAATGATAAAAGCTATATCAATACTTTTCTATCCCAATTATATTTTACGTCATTTTCCTTCCATTTTCAGCAATTAAAAAAACAAAAGAGAGCTGATGTCATGTACTTCAAATGTCCAAATTTATATTTATAAATACTAGTTGAAGTCAGTAATGAAATAACTTGCCTGGTAGATTAAAAGCATATCAAATTTGACAAATTCCTGTTAAGATCTCATTGAACCCCTTGTAACAAAATCACAAATATAACATTGTTCTTATGCCATGGTGGGGCGTCCATCGTCCGTCAGTCGTCTGTCTTAAACTTTTTACTTTAAACAACTTCTTCTCATTAACCAAAAGGCCTAGGATGATGATATTTTGCCAGTAGCATGCTGGGATGAAGGGCTACCAAGTTTGTTCAAACGAATGACCTTGACTTATATACAAGGTCACAGGGATCAAATATGTTTAAAACCTTTTAACAACTTCTCCTAAATATAAATAACCAAGAGGTCTAGAATGGTGATATTTATGGCAAGTAACATGCCGGGATAAAGGGCTACCAAGTTTGTTCAAACAAATGGCATTGAATTATATTCAGGGTCACAGAGGTAAAAAATGTTGAAAACTGTAAGCAACTTCTTCTTTATAACCAAAAGGACCAGAGTGATGATATTTGGCTAGTAACATGCTTGCAATTGGATGAAACGCAACCAAGTTTGTTCAATTGAACTACCTTCACCCATTTGCAAGGTCACAGGGGCCAAATAAGTCCAATTTTAAATAACTTCTGAACAATCTAAAGGTCCAGGGTAATGATATTTGGCCAGAAGCATGCTGGGATGAAGGGCTACCAACTTTGTTCTAATATATGACCTTCATCAATTTTCAAGGTCACAGGGGTCAAATATGTTTAAATCTTCAAACAACCTTTTCCGAATAACCAAGAGGCTTAGGATAATGATATTTGGCCAGTAGCATGCTGGGTTGAAGGTTTACCAAGTTTGTTCAAATGAATGACCTTGACTTTTATGCAAGGTCACAGGGGTCAAATAGGTTAAAAACCTTTAAACAACTTCTTTTGAATAACTAAGAGGCCTAGGGTTAAGGTATTTGGCCAGTAGCATGCTTGGATGAAGGCCTACCAAGTTTGTTCAAATGAATGACATTGACTTATATTCAAGGTCACAGGGGTCAAATATGTTAAAAACCTTTAAACAACTTATTTTGAATAACTAAGAGGCATAGGATTACGATATTTGGCCAGTAGCATGCTGTGTTTAAGTCAATTATGTTTATAGGGTGATGATATTTGATCATTAACAGGATGGGATGAAGGGCTACCAATTTTGCCAAAATGAATGACCTTCGCCCATATTCAAGGTCACAGTGGTCAATATATGTTTAAATATTTAAATGACTTGTTCTGTATAACCAATAGGTCCAGGGTTATGATATTTTGCCAAAAGCATGCTGGGTTGGAAGACTTTAAACTCTGTTCAACCTAATGTCCTTGTTCTGCATTCAAGGTCACAGGCGTCATGTGTTCAAATCTTTTAATAGGTTCTTACGAATCAAACACTGATATTCTTCCTGTAGCTGTATTTTAGTCCACTTTTAAGATTACAAGTGTGAGATTAATACCAGGTGAGGGATTCAGGCTCATTGGGCCTCTTGTTTTATTCATTTACTATTAAAAAAAGCTTATTAGAACTCTTTATATCAAGCATTGAATTTGCAAAAATCTGTGAAAAAAATAGTATTTTTTCCATTATAAAGTAGGTAGTAGGGGTTACTTAAATAGCTTTTCTGAGATAAAAAAAATAAGATAAAAAAGAAATTTTACTATCATAATTTGAAAGAAAAAAATACTATTTTTATAAATTCTGCAAACAATAACATTCATACATATCTGATAACACACTTGGAAGATATTGTACGAATTTGTTCTGCAAATTGTCAGAATAAAAAACATCACCTAAAATCACACATGTTTAATTGGTATCTTTGACTGATCAAAGCACAAAAACCAACACACGGACATATTATATTTTTTTTGCATTTTCTACCATGTCATTTACTCCTTTTTCCAGAAAAATCATTTAAGAAATAAAGTTTAATACAGGAATTTTTCGACCTCTCAGAGGTTTACATCCTTAAGAAGAAGGTGGCATGTTTTCAATCATTTGAACAATAGTTTCCCTATTTTGTTACAGGTTGATTTCTTTGTGTCTCCATTGAAAAAGTGTCAAAATCTGGGCATATTGTCCTTGCAGCATGGTTCCAGAAATCGATCCAAAGTTAACATTTTTGTTGTAATTAACTGTCGACGACTGATTTATTTACAACATATACTTTTCTGAAAGAATAAAGAAATGCAGGGTAACAAAATATGCAATGTTATTTAACTGCTTGGCCTAGCATTATAAAAACTTGTTAGACCAGTATCTTGGTCACTGTCCTAAAGTTACTCGACTGTAATGCACGTGCACCATGACACACAGTGAAAGTGTCAAAATGCATGCATGTGCAGAATCATTTCCACATTTATTTATGTCTGATGATCATGAGGGTATCTCACCTCCGGTTCAGACAACCTAAAAATGATCGAAAACATCTTGATCATCTATTATCATATATTGTTTATCAAAATATTTTTCTCCGGTAAATAGAATATCATGATAAGCTGGTTCCACTGTATTGTAATATGTAAAAAACAACAAAAAAACAACAACTTATTTTTACTTAATTTGTTTCAGAGTGAAGGATGTCTTAATCACATCCAATGTCATCCTTGAAGCTTTTGGGAATGCAAAGACAAACCGAAATGACAATTCCAGTCGGTTTGGCAAATACATGGACATCAACTTTGACTTCAAAGGAGATCCTATTGGTGGCCACATCAGTAATTACTTATTAGAAAAAGTAAGTCAGTGGCACTAAGTTATTGCAATTAATGACTGAAAAAGCCACTCAAAAGTAAATAGCATGCACTGACACTGGCTTAAAGACTCAAAAACAAGGCACTTACCACTCAAAAGTTAATAGCATGCACTGACACTGACTTAATGACTCAAAAACAAGGCGCTAACCACTCAAAAGTTAATAGCATGTACTGACACTGGCTTAATGACCCAAAAACAAGGCACTTATCACTCAAAAGTTAATAGCATGCACTGACACTGGCTTAAAGACTCAAAAACAAGACACTAACCACTCAAAAGTTAATAGCATGCACTGACACTGACTTAATGACTCAAAAACAAGGCGCTAACCACTCAGAAGATAATGGCATGCACTGACACTGGCTTAAAGCCTCAAAAACAAGGCGCTAACCACTCAAAAGTTAATAGCATGTACTGACACTGGCTTAATGACCCAAAAACAAGGCACTTATCACTCAAAAGTTAATAGCATGCACTGACACTGGCTTAATGACTCAAAAACAAGGCGCTAACCACTCAAAAGATAATGGCATGCACTGACACTGGCTTAAAGACTCAAAAACAAGGCGCTAACCACTCAAAAGTTAATAGCATGCACTGACACTGGCTTAAAGATTAAAAAACAAGGCACTTACCACTCAAAAGTTCATAGCATGCACTGACACTGGCTTAAAGACTCAAAAACAAGGCACTTACCACTCAAAAGTTAAAAGCATGCACTGACACTGGCTTAAAGACTCAAAAACAAGGCACTAACCACTCAAAAGTTAATAGCATGCACTGACACTGGCTGAAAGACTCAAAAACAAGGCACGGTAATGTCCACTCTAGAACTAATTGGTAACCCCTCTCAGGGTTTTCAATAAAGAGCCTGTATCAGTTACTTTTAACTGGTTGAAATAAGGTTTGGTACTGTTGAGAATGCACCTGTAAATCTCCACATCCACATACATATGGGAGTAAAATTAATAACAAGGAGAGATACGGTTTGGTTACTTAAGCTTCTACTAAGGCAAGATAACAACAATGAAATATTTCATGGCGACTCCAAACAAAACAAGGCAGAGAAAAACATCTGTGTACCCTTGAAAAATGACTTGGTACTAACTTTTCTTGACAACGCTCGGGTATTGTGACCACCCTTACATTTAGCCGAGTATGTGACCACCCTTACATTGAGATGAGTACCCGTGACAACTCTTACATTTAGATGAGTATGTGACCACTCCTACATTGAGATAAGTATGTGACCACCCTTACATTGAGATGAGTATGTGACCACTCCTACATTGAGATAAGTATGTGACCACCCTTACATTTAGATGATTATGTTACTAACCTTACCTTTAGATGAGTTGTGACAGCTCCTACATTTAGATGAGTATGTGACCACCCTTACATTGAGATGAGTATGTGACCACCCTTACATTGAGATGAGTATGTGACCACTCTTACATTGAGATGAGTATGTGACCACTCTTACATTGAGATGAGTATGTGACCACCCTTACATTGAGATGAGTATGTGACCACCCTTACATTGAGATGAGTATGTGACCACCCTTACATTGAGATGAGTATGTGACCACTCTTACATTGAGATGAGTATGTGACCACTCTTACATTGAGATGAGTATGTGACCACCCTTACATTGAGATGAGTATGTGACCACCCTTACATTGAGATGAGTATGTGACCACCCTTACATTGAGATGAGTATGTGACCACCCTTACATTGAGATGAGTATGTGACCACCCTTACATTGAGATGAGTATGTGACCACCCTTACATTGAGATGAGTATGTGACCACTCTTACATTGAGATGAGTATGTGACCACCCTTACATTGAGATGAGTATGTGACCACCCTTACATTGAGATGAGTATGTGACCACCCTTACATTGAGATGAGTATGTGACCACCCTTACATTGAGATGAGTATGTGACCACCCTTACATTTAGATGAGTATGTGACCACCCTTACATTGAGATGAGTATGTGACCACCCTTACATTGAGATGAGTATGTGACCACCCTTACATTGAGATGAGTATGTGACCACCCTTACATTTAGATGAGTATGTGACCACCCTTACATTGAGATGAGTATGTGACCACCCTTACATTGAGATGAGTATGTGACCACCCTTACATTTAGATGAGTATGTGACCACCCTTACATTGAGATGAGTATGTGACCACCCTTACATTGAGATGAGTATGTGACCACCCTTACATTTAGATGAGTATGTGACCACCCTTACATTTAGATGAGTATGTGACCACCCTTACATTGAGATGAGTATGTGACCACCCTTACATTGAGATGAGTATGTGACCACCCTTACATTTAGATGAGTATGTGACCACCCTTACATTTAGATGAGTATGTGACCACCCTTACATTGAGATGAGTATGTGACCACCCTTACATTGAGATGAGTATGTGACCACCCTTACATTTAGATGAGTATGTGACCACCCTTACATTTAGATGAGTATGTGACCACCCTTACATTGAGATGAGTATGTGACCACCCTTACATTGAGATGAGTATGTGACCACCCTTACATTTAGATGAGTATGTGACCACCCTTACATTTAGATGAGTATGTGACCACCCTTACATTTAGATGATTATGTGACCACCCTTACATTTAGATGAGTATGTGACCACCCTTACATTTAGATGATTATGTTTCTAACCTTACCTTTAGATGAGTTGTGACAGCTCCTACATTGAGATGAGTATGTGACCACCCTTACATTGAGATGAGTATGTGACCACTCTTACATTGAGATGAGTATGTGCCCACCCTTACATTTAGATGAGTATGTGACCACCCTTACACTTAGATGAGTATGTGACTACCCTTACATTTAGATGATTATGTTTCTAACCTTGCCTTTAGATGAGTTGTGACAGCTCCTACAGTGAGATGAGTATGTGACCACCCTTACATTGAGATGAGTAGATGACCACCCTTACATTTAGATGATTATGTGACCACCCTTACATTTAGATGAGTATGTGACCACTCCTACATTGAGATGAGTATGTGACCAACCTTACATTGAGATGATTATGTGACCACCCTTACATTGAGATGAGTAGATGACCACCCTTACATTTAGATGATTATGTGACTACCCTTACATTGAGATGATTATGTGACCACCCTTACATTTAGATGAGTATGTGACCACCCTTACACTTAGATGAGTATGTGACTACCCTTACATTTAGATGATTTTGTGACCACTCTTACATTTAGATGAGTCAATGATCACTTTTACATTTTGATGAGTATGTGACTACCCTTACATTTAGATGAGTATGTGACTACTCTTACCCTTAGATGAGTTGTGACAGCTCCTACATTGAGATGAGTATGTGACCCCCCTTACATTTAGATGAGTTGTGACCCCGTGCACTCCTACATTTAGATGAGTACGCGACTAACCTTACATTTAGATCAGTATGTGACTAACCTTAACCTTACATTTAGATGAGTATGCGACTACCCTTACATTTAGATGAGTATATGATCACTTTTACATTTTGATGCGTATGTGACTACCCTTACATTGAGATAAGTATGTGTCTACCCTTATATTTAAGTAAGTATGTAACTATCCTTCCATTTAGATGAGTATGTGAAGTATGTGACCACCCTTATATTTAGATTAGATGATTTTGTGACCACTCTTACATTTAGATGAGTCAATGATCCCTTTTACATTTTGATGAGTATGTGAATACCCTTACATTTAGATGAATTTGTGACCACTCTTACATTTAGATGGGTCAATGCTCACTTTTACATTTTGATGCGTATGTGACTACCCTTACATTGAGATAAGTATGGGACCATCCTTACATTTAGATGAGTATATGATCACTTTTACATTTTGATGAGTATTTGACTACCCTTACATTTAGATGAATTTGTGACCACTCTTACATTTAGATGGGTCAATGCTCACTTTTACATTTTGATGCGTATGTGACTACCCTTACATTTTGATGAGGATTTTACTACCCTTACATTGAGATGATTATGTGACCACCCTTACATTTAGATGAGTTGTCTAACATTTAGATGAGTATGTGACCACTCTTACATTTAGATGAGTATGTGAATTTAGATGAGTATGTGACTACCCTTACATTTCGATGAGTATGTGACTTCCCTTACATTTAGATGTTTATGTGACCACTCCTACATTGAGATAAGTATGTCACTACCCTTACATTTAGATGAGTATTTGACTACCCTTACATTGAGATAAGTATGTGACCATCCTTACATTTAGATGAGTATGTGACTACCCTTACATTTCGATGAGTATGTGACTACCCTTACATTTAGATGAGTATATGACTTTCCTTACATTTAGATGAGTATGTGACCACCCTTACATTGAGATAAGTATGTGACTACCCTTTCATTAACATGATTATGTGACCACTACTACATTTAGATGATAATGTGACTACCCTTACCTTTAGATGATTATGTGACCACTCCTACATTGAGATGAGTATGTGACTACTATTACATTTAGATGATTATGTGACCACTCTTACAATTAGATGAGTATGTGACAACCCTTATATTTAGATGAGTATGTGACCCCGTGCACTCCTACATTTAGATGAGTATGTGACTAGCCTTACATTTAGATAAGTATGTGACTACCCTTACATTTAGATGAGTATGTGACTAACCTTATATTTAGATAAGTATGTGACTACCCTTATATTTAGATGAGTATGTGACCCCGTGAACTCCTACATTTAGATGAGTATGTGACTAACCTTACATTTAGATGAGTATGTGACTAACCTTACATTTAGATGAGTATGTGACAACCCTTATATTTAGATGAGTATGTGACCCCGTGCACTCCTACATTTAGATGAGTATGTGACCACCCTTACATTTAGATGAGTATGTGACTAACCTTATATTTAGATAAGTATGTGACCCCGTGCACTCCTACATTTAGATGAGTATGTGACCACCCTTACATTTAGATGAGTATGTGACTAACCTTATATTTAGATAAGTATGTGACCCCGTGCACTCCTACATTTAGATGAGTATGTGACCACCCTTACATTTAGATGAGTATGTGACTAACCTTATATTTAGATAAGTATGTGACCCCGTGCACTCCTACATTTAGATGAGTATGTGACTACCCTTACATTTAGATGAGTATGTGACTAACCTTATATTTAGATAAGTATGTGACCCCGTGCACTCCTACATTTAGATGAGTATGTGACCACCCTTACATTTAGATGAGTATGTGACTAACCTTATATTTAGATAAGTATGTGACCCCGTGCACTCCTACATTTAGATGAGTATGTGACCACCCTTACATTTAGATGAGTATGTGACTAACCTTATATTTAGATAAGTATGTGACCCCGTGCACTCCTACATTTAGATGAGTATGTGACCACCCTTACATTTAGATGAGTATGTGACTAACCTTATATTTAGATAAGTATGTGACCCCGTGCACTCCTACATTTAGATGAGTATGTGACCACCCTTACATTTAGATGAGTATGTGACTAACCTTACATTTAGATGAGTATGTGACTACCCTTATATTTAGATGAGTATGTGACCCCGTGCACTCCTACATTTAGATGAGTATGTGACTAACCTTACATTTAGATGAGTATGTGACTAACCTTATATTTAGATAAGTATGTGACCCCGTGCACTCCTACATTTAGATGAGTATGTGACCACCCTTACATTTAGATGAGTATGTGACTAACCTTATATTTAGATAAGTATGTGACCCCGTGCACTCCTACATTTAGATGAGTATGTGACCACCCTTACATTTAGATGAGTATGTGACTAACCTTATATTTAGATAAGTATGTGACCCCGTGCACTCCTACATTTAGATGAGTATGTGACCACCCTTACATTTAGATGAGTATGTGACTAACCTTATATTTAGATAAGTATGTGACCCCGTGCACTCCTACATTTAGATGAGTATGTGACCACCCTTACATTTAGATGAGTATGTGACTAACCTTATATTTAGATAAGTATGTGACCCCGTGCACTCCTACATTTAGATGAGTATGTGACCACCCTTACATTTAGATGAGTATGTGACTAACCTTACATTTAGATGAGTATGTGACTACCCTTATATTTAGATGAGTATGTGACCCCGTGCACTCCTACATTTAGATGAGTATGTGACCACCCTTACATTTAGATGAGTATGTGACTAACCTTATATTTAGATAAGTATGTGACTACCCTTATATTTAGATGAGTATGTGACCCCGTGCACTCCTACATTTAGATGAGTATGTGACTAACCTTACATTTAGATGAGTATGTGACTAACCTTATATTTAGATAAGTATGTGACTACCCTTATATTTAGATGAGTTGTGACCCCGTGCACTCCTACATTTAGATGAGTATGTGACCCCGTGCACTCCTGCATTTAGATGAGTATGTGACTACCCTTGTATGTAGATCAGTTTTGACCCCGTGAACTCCTACATTTAGATGAGTTGTGACCCCGTGCACTCCTACATTTAGATGAATATGTGACTACCCTATATGTGACTACCCTTACATTTAGATGAGTATGTGACTACCCTTACATTTAGATGAGTATGTGACCATGTGCACTCCTACATTTAGATGAGTATGTGACCACCCTTACATTTAGATGAGTATGTGACTAACCTTATATTTAGATAAGTATGTGACTACCCTTATATTTAGATGAGTTGTGACCCCGTGCACTCCTACATTTAGATGAGTATGTGACTACCCTTACATTTAGATGAGTATGTGACTACCCTTACATTTAGATGAGTATGTGACTAACCTTATATTTAGATAAGTATGTGACTACCCTTATATTTAGATGAGTTGTGACCCCGTGCACTCCTACATTTAGATGAGTATGTGACTACCCTTACATTTAGATGAGTATGTGACTACCCTTACATTTAGATGAGTATGTGACTAACCTTATATTTAGATAAGTATGTGACTACCCTTATATTTAGATGAGTATGTGACCCCGTGCACTCCTACATTTAGATGAGTATGTGACTACCCTTACATTTAGATGAGTATGTGACTAACCTTACATTTAGATGAGTATGTGACCACTTGCACTCCTACATTTAGATGAGTATGTGACTAACCTTGCATTTAGATCAGTATGTGACTAACCTTACATTTAGATGAGTATGTGACTACTCTTACATTAAGATGAGTTGTGACCATGTGCACTCCTACATTTAGATGAGTATGTGACTACCCTTACATTTAGATAAGTATGTGACTACCCTTACATTGAGATGAGTATGTGACTACCCTTACATTTAGATGAGTATGTGACTACCCTTACATTTAGATGAGTATGTGACTAATCTTATATTTTGATAAGTATGTGACTACCTTTATATTTAGATGAGTATGTGACCCCGTGCACTCCTACATTTAGATAAGTATGTGACTACCCTTACATTTAGCTGAGTATGTGACCACTTGCACTCCTACATTTAGATGAGTATGTGACTAACCTTACATTTAGATCAGTATGTGACTAACCTTACATTTAGATGAGTATGTGACTACCCTTACATTTAGATGAGTTGTGACCCCGTGCACTCCTACATTTAGATGAGTATGTGACCCCGTGCACTCCTGCATTTAGATGAGTATGTGACTACCCTTACATTTAGATGAGTATGTGACTACCCTTACATTTAGATGAGTTGTGACCCCGTGCACACCTACATTTATATGAGTATGTGACTACCCTTACATTTAGATGAGTATGTGACCCCTTGCACTCCTACATTTAGATGAGTATGTGACTAACCTTACATTTAGATGAGGATGTGACTACCCTTACATTTAGATGAGTTGTGACCCCGCGTACTCCTACATTTAGATGAGTATGTGACTACCCTTACATTTAGATGAGTTGTGACCCCGCGTACTCCTACATTTAGATGAGTATGTGACCCCGTGCACTCCTGCATTTAGATGAGAATGTGACTAACCTTATATTTAGATAAGTATGTGACTACCTTTAGATTTAGATGAGTATGTGACTACCCTTACATTTAGATGAGTTGTGACCCCGTGCACACCTACACTTATATGAGTATGTGACTACCCTTACATTTAGATGAGTATGTGACCCTTGCACTCCTACATTTAGATGAGTATGTGACTACCCTTACATTTAGATGAGTATGTGACTACCCTTACATTTAGATGAGTATGTGACTACCCTTACATTTAGATGAGTTGTGACCCCGTGTACTCCTACATTTAGATGAGTATGTGACAACTCTTATATTTATACGTAAGTTTGTCGTCACCCATATTGACATGAAATTGTTTCATCTTTTTCAGTCTAGGGTAGTTCATCAACAACAGGGCGAGAGAAATTTCCATTCATTTTATCACGTAAGTAAATTTTTGCAGTCGTAGTCAAGTATAACCCTGACAGCTCACATCAGATAAAGTTAATACATGTGTATTCTACAAAAGTCTGTTCAGTAACATAATTATGTTCAGTCATTCAGTTAAATTACACTAAATTAATCAGGTTAAATTTAACTAGGTAAGGGAAATGTTTATATAATGAGACTTTCCTGAGATCAGGTGGAATTGGATTATTTAGTCGGAGAATGTGTGGGGAAAATTCTTTTAAACAGAAAAAGCAATTTTCTGTGACAGTGAAAGTTGTTTTAAACAGAAAAAGTAATTTTCTGTGTCAGTGAAATCCTGTTGGATACTACAGATAGTGTTAATAGAGTTAACTACTGAGGAAGGTCAGGTTTAACTGTGAAATGTGACAATGTTTTGTTCTTGTCCTTAGTTACTATATGGTGCTAAGGATGAAAAGCTAGCGGAACTGAAGTTAACACGAGACCCCATGAAGTATCATTACGTCAGACAAGGTGGTGACCCAAAGGTATTGTATAAAGTCGTCACTTTGAAATGTGGACAGAAAGTTTTGATATGTTTAATGTTTAGAAATACATATATTCATATATAAACTAGAAATTGTTGGTTATACCATCATCTGATGGTGGGCTATTTAAATCACCCTTGGTCCGTTCTTCCGTTGTCCGACCTTAAACAATTCTTGATTCAATATTTCTCTTAAGTACCAGAGGGATCTTCACAAATTTTATATGTAGGTTCCCCTTGGTCTCTAACTGTGCAGGGCAACATTTGAGACTGATCGAATAAACAACATGGCCGACAGGTAGCCATCTTGGATTTTGACATTGAGGGTTTGTTATCGCTATTTCTCAGGAAGTAGTGGAGAGATCTTTCTCACATCTTGTATGTAGGTTCCCCTAGGTCCTTACTTGTGTATATAAACTTTTGAGACTGATCAGATAAACGAAATGGCAGGCAGGCAGACATCTTGCATTTTGACAGTGAAGGTTTGTTATGGCTATTACTCAGGAAATACTGGAGAGATCTTTCTTAATTTTAAGCTCACCTACCCGAAGGCGTCCGTCAACTTTTCCTAAAAATCACTAACGACTGAGCAGATTGAGCAGATTTTTAGGGGAAGGGGAACAAATTTTGTATAAATGGTGGGTCTGTGGGGCCCAATAGAGGAAATATAGCAAATTCTTTAAAATCCTTCTTCTTCTGTAGGAATGAAAGGATTTGTTCCATATTTGGTCTAAAGCATAAGCATATTTATCAAAATATTGTGTGTAAATTATATGTAGTAAAGGGTACAGTTTGTGTATAAACTTGTTTTTGTACATAAGTATAAAAACTCAATATATACAATTGCTGAGTATAAAGAGATGAATGCACATATGCTTCCAGGATGGCCTTGGGGTCTGCCCCACCCTTGGAGACTTAACCCCTGGGTCATAACTTTGAAACGGTTGAGATCCCCACCCCAAGACTATAAAAACAAATGCTGGACAAAAAGACACGAATGCAGTCATGATATTAGAATTGATCCTGGGGTCTGGCCACAACCTTAGGGATCTAGTTTTTGAGTCACAGCTTGGAAACAGTTGAGATCCCCACCCCATAACCATGTATTAAATTGCTGGGCATGAAAAATCTAAAACAGACTGTGAGACATACTACAAGAATTGGCATTGGGGTCTGGCATATTCCCTTGGATCTCGTTTTGAGAATGTTTTGCCATGATTGCTTAGATATCCAGGTGAGCAATTCTCTGGGCCTCTTGTTTTATGTAGGTTCCCCTTGGTATGAAGTTATGCATATTTTCTTATGAGACTGATCAAATAAACAAATCTTTGATTTTGGCAGTTAAGGTTTGTTAGTGCGACTTCCCAGGAAGTACCGGAGGATTCTTTCTCAAATTCTATATGCAGGTTCCCCACTATTCTTTATTGTTCATGTTTACGTTTGAAACTGATCAGTTAAACAAAATGGCCTACCGACAGCCATCTTCGATTTTTGACATTGAAGGTTTGTTAGTATTTTTTTTCAGGAATAACTGGAGGGATCTTAATCAAATTTGATATGTAGATTCCCCTTGATCCCTCACTGTGCATGTTATATTTTGAGACTACTCATAAAAACAAACATGGCTAAAGGAAGAACTAAACAGATCTTTCTCATATTGCAATGATCAATTCTAATTCTTTCACATTAAGTACTTTACTAGTAAATATGTGAAATGAAAAATTCACTTTGAAGGTTGGCTTTCATACACAGCAGTATTAAGTTTAGATCAAAAGTTTAACTGATCAGTTTCAAACGTAAATATGAAAAATAATAATTGAAATGTAATTAAAAAGTTGACATAAATTTATTTTTACAGTGTGCCACATTAAATGATCGTGAAGATTATCGTGCCGTCATGTCAGCCATGAAAACGATGGGATTTGCATACAGCCACGCAGAAGCCTTGTGGAGAGTTCTGTCTGCAATTCTACAGCTGGTAACAATAAAAAGTTACACAATTTGGGATCCCTGCATTAATGTCTTTAGCTAATCTGGCCAGAAGGGCCAGTTGAGCATATGCTGTGGCACGGTGTTCGTCGTTCGTTGTTTATTCATCTGTCATCCTTCAACTATTTCTTTTGAATTAATACAATATAGTCCTTATAATTAACGGCTCTGTGGATTTCAACAAATTTGCATTGATCCAAAGCAACCTTGGCCAAAGGGCTCTCAGTTTTGTATACACAGAAGGTATAGCCCCCTGGGCGAGGCCAAATAGGCAAAAAGAGGGAAATCGTCAAAAATACTCTCTTCTTTACCAATGGAAGAATTTTTAAACCAAATGTTGTCTGGGGCATCTTTGGGCAAAAGGGATTCCATTTTGTATAAATGAGGGTGTGGCAGACTGACAGGCTTGGCTCATTTGTCTTTTTATCCTCCAATAGACCGGAGGGATTTTTATCAAATTTTGTTCTAGATCATCTATTATGAGGTTGAGGCATTGATAAAGAATGTAAGCTGCAGAATTTGCAGAACCATTCGTATTCTAAGGGCCTAAAGGGATTATTTTAGATTCAATTTGGTGTGGAACATTTATGTCATGCCGTGCAACATTCATAGAGTTCATTACATGTCAATTTCAAAGGTCTTGTATTGTAATGTTTGGATAATGTATATGTAACACTAACTTCACTGAAGGCCGTATTTCGTATAATTACTTATATTGTTCATTAACAACAAAATGATTATCAAAATAGCAATTCAATTTAGCAACCTACGTCAACTTGTTAAGATACATGCATATGTATTTCTGTTGCTATTTATTAACTTAAAATATATCATAAAGAGTCAAGTATGCTATTCTTCAACGGCTTGTATTTTGTTTGTCTCTTAGCTTTTAAGTCTAATATTTGAAAAGTAGCCATCATGCTCTATATCTTTATAGTAGTGACATATTGCCAGAAATCAGTGGAAACCTGTCTTTGATTTACCTGTTTCACATAGTTTTCCTGGATCAGACAAGTTCATGTTTTGTCTGAAATGAAGTTGTCATAATACAAATACTACGGTTTTCTAAATTATTTTATTAATTGTCACAATTTTCAAAGTAATATATTGACATATTGTCTGTATTTCAGGGAAATGTGGAATATGGAATGAGTGAAGACCATGATGTGGCTTTTGTCGAAGACAAGAAGTTGCTAGGCAACATAGCGGCCATGTTGTCAGTGACCCCAATTGACCTTGAAAAATCCCTGTGTTACCGTGTGATTGCTGCAGGAGGACAAGTGGTGGAGAAGGGGCTCAGTACGTCTGAAGCTTTGTATGCGAGGGATGCCTTTAGCAAGGTAAATTTAATTATTAGCCCACCTGGTCCGAAGGAAAACTTTAAATGACTTCTTAATAACCAAAATGACCAGGGTGATCATATTTGACCAGTCACATTCTGGAATAAAGGGCTACCAAGTTTGTTCAAATGAATGATCTTCACCCATTTTTATCTCACCTGGTCCAAAGGACCATGGTGAGCTTATGCCATACCGCAGCGTCCGTCGTCTGTCCGTCCATCAACTTTTCCTTTAAAATGCTACTAGTCATGAACGACTGAGCAGATTTTGACCAAATTTCGTCAGAAGCATCCTTGGGGGAAGGGGAACAAATTTTGTATAAATGGTGGGTCTGGCCCCCTAGGAGCCTGAGGGGCGGGGCCCAATAGGGGAAACATAGCAAATTATTCTTTAAAATCCTTCTTCTTCTGTAGGAATGAAAGGATTTGGTCCATATTTATATTTGATGTGGAGCATCCTTGGGTAAAGGGGAACCAATTTTGTATAAACAGTGGGCCTGGCCCCCCTGGGGGCTGAGGGGCGGGGCCCAATAGGGGAAATATAGCAAATTCTTTAAAATCCTTCTCCTTCTGTAGGAATGACAGGATTCTGTCCATATTTGGTCTGAAGCATCCTTAGGTAAAGGGGAACCAATTTGTATAAACTGTGGGTCTGGCCCCCCAGGGGCCTGAGAGGCGGGGCCAAATAGGGGAAACATAGCAGATTATTCTTTAAAATCCTTCTTCTGTAGGAATCGGTCCATATTTGGTGTGGAGCATTCTTTGGTAAAGGGGAACCAATTTTGTATAAACAGTGGGCCTGGCCCCCCTGGGGGCTAAGGGGCGGGGCCCAATAGGGGAAATATAGCAAATTCTTTAAAATCCTTCTCCTTCTGTAGGAATGACAGAATTTTGTCCATATTTGGTCTGAAGCATCCTTAGGTAAAGGGGAACCAATTTGTATAAATCGTGGGTCTGGCCCCCCAGGGGGCCTGAGAGGCGGGGCCAAATAGGGGAAACATAGCAGATTATTCTTTAAAATCCTTCTTCTGTAGGAATCGGTCCATATTTGTTGTGGAGCATCCTTGGGTAAAGGGGAACCAATTTTGTATAAACAGTGGGCCTGGCCCCCCTTGGGGCTGAGGGGCGGGCCCCAATAGGGGAAATATAGGTAAAACCTTTATAATCCCACTTCTACCATTGCATTAAGGGATATTTTCCTAATTTAGTCTGGAACATCCTTAGGCAAAAGGGACTCAATTTCGTATTAACAGCGAGTGTGCCCCCCCCTGTGGGCAGAAGGGAGGGGCCCAATAGGGGAAACATAGCAAATTCTTCAAAATCCTTCTTCTTCTGTAGAAATGACAGGATTTTGTCCAAATTTCGTATGAAGCAGCCTTGGGTGAAGGGGAAACAATTTTGTATAAGCAGTGGGTGTGGTCTCCCAGGGGGCAGAAGGGCGGGGCTCAATTGGAGAAATAGAGGTAAAACCTTTAAAACCCTACTTCGACCATCAGGATTATGGGATTTTATCCTTATTTAGTCTGGAGCATCAATGGACCAAGGGGACTCAATTTTGTTTAATTGATGGGTGTGACCCCCCGCCCCTAGGTTGCATAGGGGTGGGGCTATGTTTGAAGTTTGTTCTCACTATATCTCAAGTACTGGATCACTGGTGATTAGAAAAGGAGTAAAATACTCAGAATTGAGCAAAATAAAATGTTTAGGGGTAAAATAAAACATCAAGGAGTAAAATAACCTGGAAAGGAGTAAAATTTTACCCCATACGTTTTATTTTACCTCTATCCGGGTTATTTTACCCCCTTGACAAGTTAAAGTACTCCTAGATTATTATTTTACCCCCCTGACGAGTTAAAGTACTCCTATTTAAGTTATTTTACCCCCCTGACGAGTTAAAGTACTCCTAGATTATTATTTTACCCCCCTGATAAGTTAAAGTACTCCTATCCGGTTTATTTTACCCCCCTAACGAATTAAAGTACTCCTAGATTATTATTTTACCCCCCTGACAAGTTAAAGTACTCCTATCCGGTTTATTTTACCCCCCTGACGAGTTATAGTACTCCCCGATTATTATTTTACCCGTAGACGTTTTATTTTACTCATTGGACTTTTAAAGTACTCGTGGCTTTTTATTTTACTCGTGGCTTTTTATTTTACCCCCTTTATTTACCTGTGCTCCACGGCAACAGGATCTGCGCTGGCGGTTAGCTAGGCCTTTGATCTAACCGGGTAGTAGCCTGTCGACCACTTCGAGCTGCCGCGGGCGGTGTCAAGCATCACCAGGTAGCTCTGTTCATGTGTGAACACTTGTCAGTCGACAGCTCGCCTCATAATTAACAACGTGTCTGTGCTTTGTTCACCTATGTTTATTTGGTGTAATCAGAATAAAACTATGGAACTGTGCCGTGTTTGTAATTTACTTCAACTTGAAACTGGTGTTTTGGAATACGTGTTTGATACATACTCGATTTATGTCAAATTAAACTTTGAAAATGTGCCGTGTTTGTTACATACTCGAACAGCGCCGTTGAAATACATGTTTAAAACTATGGAATTGAGCCGTGTTTGTAATTTACTTCGACCTGGTGTTTTGAAATACGTGTCTGTAACATAATCGAACTGTGCCGTTAAAATACATGTGTATACACTCCATTAATATGTCAAATAAAACTATGGAATTGTGCCGTGTTTGTAATATACTTCGGCCGTGTCTGTTGAAATATGTTTGCTTATTACTCGATTTGTAATAAAAATATATTTAAATACATTTATCGTGTTTGTACTTTATTCGGCCTGATGATCTAAAATACGTGTTTATTAAACACTCGATTAATATGTCAAATTAAAACTATAAAACTGTGCCGTGTTTGTAATTTACTTCGACCTGGTGTTTTGAGATACGTGTTTGTTACATACTCGAACTGTGCCGTTGAAATAATACACTCAACAAATATGTCAAATAAAACTATGGAATTGTGCCGTGTTTGTAATTGATATCGGCCTGGTGTTTTGAAATACATGTTTGATGTTTTATACACTTACTATGTCAAAATAAAACTATAGAAACTGACGTGTTTGTAATTTACTCCGGCCTGGTGTTTTGAAATACGTGTTTATAACACACTCGAACTGTGCCGTTGAAATAATACACTCCATTAATATGTTAAATTAAAACTATAAAACTGTGCCGTGTTTATAATTTATTTCGACCTGGTGTTTTGAGATACGTGTTTGTTACATACTCGAACTGTGCCGTGTTTGTAAATTACTTCGACCTTGTGTTTTAAAATTTACGTGTTTGTAACATACTCGAACTGTGCCGTGTTTGTAATTAACTCCGACCTGGTGTTTTGAAATACGTGTTTATAACACACTCGAAATGTGCCGTTGAAATAATACACTCAATTAATATGTCAAATAAAACAATGGAATTGTGCCGTGTTTGTAATTGATATCGGCCTGGTGTTTTGAAATACATGTTATATACATTCCCGATTAATATGTCAAATTAAACTATAGAAACTGCCGTGTTTGCAATTTACTCCGACTTGGTGTTTTGAAATTCGTGTTTTAAACACTTGATTAATGTGTCAAAATAATACTGTGCCGCGTTTGTAATTTACTTCGACCTGGTGTTTTGAAATACGTGTTTATAACACACTCGAACTGTGTCATTGAAATAATACACTCCATTAATATGTCAAATTAAAACTATAAAACTGTGCCGTGTTTGTTATTTTTATCGACCTGGTGTTTTGAAATACATGTTTGTTATGTGTAACCACTCTGACACGCCCCCTTTACATATTTATATATTATTTGCAAAACAGTGTAAGTTATGACAGCAACCAATATATGTTGTATGGGTTAAGTCATCAATAGACAAAAAAAGAAGACATCAATCCTTAGAAAGAGAAGTTATACCTCCAAGACTGAATAACGGATATCGTATTCCGTGCCTGCATTAACTACATTCAATGTACACTATAACTTTTAGCTAAGGTATAGTAATATACAGTTGACACACCTAAATATCTTACCTGTGAATTAAAAGGTATGTTAATTACCTGTAGTTCTTACCACTTTATATTATAGCCAAAGGGCATTTACGATACCTACCTGTGAGTTAACAGGTGAACTAATTACCTCGGAGGTGTTACCTGTGAATGTCGTGGCCAAAGGGCATTTATAACCGATCCTCCAAGTAACACAGGTAGTATGGTGTACCGTCGCGTTTCTTTTTATTTCCAGTTATGGAAGAAAACATGTTTTTGAAAGTATTAAAGTAAATCTAATAAGGTAAAAATGTATGTGTATCATCACAGATTTATATTCGATCTAAGTCCGTGGTATCATATAGTCCAGGGCTCGCGCTGGCGATCGACACTGGCGAAAGTAAAACGTGATTGGCGATTTGAAACTGCTCTTGGCGAAAATGTCGATGTGGGGCTTTTGTTTAAATTACTGTCGACAATAGAAAAAACCGTTGGCGATAACTGTTTCTAGAGCAACTGTTACAGGTAAATTTAGCCCCCGGACACCGCTTGTGTACTACGTTTACGATGTCACGGCTGAATGCATTTCCGATGCAAGGTCATGTATTTGAACTCACCTGAGTTTTCACAAGGTCACCTGGAAACACAATGACTCCCGTCTAATATCAAAATTGCCTATTATCCAATTATAGCGATATTGTCTTATTCCGAGGGTTGCTCTGTGGAGAACAATAAGGTAAGCTAGGGTCGGGAAAGGGTTGTTTTAATTGGATTTGATTTACTGCAGGAAATCGCGTGAAGTGATGCGAGGCAATAACGAGGCACGGTCATTTGTGTGTGCTTATATTGGGACGCAAGCGGGATATTTTTCATGACTTTCTTTTTAATTTTGTTTAGCAGCAACAGGTATATAATTGCCAGGGTACATACAATTTAGTTGATATTTTGGTGCGTGGTTCTATCACGGTTTCTAATCTAATTCCGAGGTTCTATAAATAAAACG